TTCGGAGTCTCTTCGTTCAATCTTGGAGGCCTCTCCTGCCGTTCTGGTCGCGCGGTGGCGTTACCATGAGAATCCTGGGGTGACCCGGAGCAGCCTGTATTTGAGGTTCAAGCACCCCTATTGGCTGTTTGGTGGCGCGGCGGAGCCCCGAAACAGGAGGCAGGAAACAGGACTGGAGAGACAAAAGGCCAAACGACAAATGACAACACATATCACATGACAGCAGAGCGCACACACCTTCGTAGCCTTGCGCCCCCGGAGGGGGCCGACAGAGCTTCACAACCGCCTCGGTAAAGCCCCAGACGCGAAAGGCATCCGCGCAGAAATGCTTTAAGAAGGCACGGAGGAACTCAGACGTGCACTTCTCCACCTCTCCAACACCATCTTGCAGCGCGAAGCCCCGCCGCCGGCAAGCTGAAAGAGCACAGTCATCACAGTCATACCCAAAGGTGGAGACCTCGCGCTTCCACAATTACCGTCCGATTTGCACGATACCGCTGTTGCACAAGTTGTTCAGCCGACTGCTATACAACAGACTACAGCCCACGCTTGACTCCCACCAGACTGACGACCAGGCGGGCTTCAGACCAGGTCATTCGACTACTGACAACCTTTGCACATTCCATGTGTTACGCGAGCGAGCAAACGAATGGGGTCAAATCCTGTGGGTCGCGGGGCCTCGGGGGGGCCTCGAGGGGCGCGCGAGGGCCTCGGGGCGCCTCGGGCGGGGCAGGGTGCGGGGCGGCGCCGCGCGCGCCCGAGTGGTGTCTCCTTGGGCAGCACTGAAGGCGCAGCGAGTCCAACCTGGATACGTTGCTCTACTCCAGCAGCTCTTTGAAGGACAGATTGCCACGGTGAAGACAGACGTCAGCAGCAGACCCGTCAACCTCTTGCGGGGCACGAAGCAGGGCGACCCACTAAGCTCCCTACTTTTCAGCGCGCTTCTCCAACCCATCCTTGGTCCGCTCGTCTCCGAATGGCAGCAAAAGAAGAAGGGAGTTGAATTGGGATTTCGCGAGCACCGCAACGCTAACCAACCTACGTCTCGCCGATGACGTGCTCTTGACCAGCCAAATTCTCCCGCGTCTGATCTCGATGCTCGACGACATTGCGCGTGCGGCAAAGTTACACGGGTTCGAATTGCACCCAATCAAAACCAACACATTCAGCTATCAGACGAGAAGGACCGCAAGGGCGAGCTCACGCACAGCACACGTCCAAGACATGAACCTAGAAGTCACCCCGTACGAGGGCAATCTCAAGTACTTCGGCCAATCGATCAGCTTCCACGAACCAGTGGACACGGATATTCAGCACCGTCTGCGAGTTGCATGGGCATCGTTTACTTCTCGCGAAGAAGAACTGACTAGCAAGCACCACCCACTGGATCACCGACTCCGCCTGTTCAACAGCGCAGTAACACCTACAGCAGTATACGGAGCAGAGACGTGGACATTCACGGAACCCCACGGTAGCACTTTCGACGGACACAACGACGGATGCTTCGCATGTTCATCAGAACGCCGAGACGACGCACGACAACACAAACTGACCATCACAGCAGTCCGCGACCACCAGACAACGAAGCACCAGACAACGAAGCACCAGACAACGACGCACCAAACAACGACCACTGCAACAACAGCACTAGCGACGACGCGGACAGCAACCCACCCCAGCGCGACACACCTGCCGAAGTTGACGTGCGCAGCGAAGACGGCGAAATCAGCACTACAACAGACCTGGAGGAACCCTGGGTAGAGTATATACAGCGAGCAACACGGCGTGCATAACACTTCAGGAAGCTCCGCCGCATCGACAACTGGGAGACGGTTCGCAAGCGAAAAGTATGGCGAATGGCTTCAAGAGTCGCAAACCACACCCAAACAAGTTGGACACAGCAAGTGTTGCAATGGCGACCAGACCCCGACCCATGGCAGCGAGGACAGATGCAGCACGGTCGTCAACACAAACGCTGGGTCGACGAAGTCAGCACTTGTCTACGCCAACGCAGACCAGACCTTCACCGACCGACCGCACATACCTGCGCGACAGGAGAACCAAACGACATTACATGTATTCAAACAGTACAGGACACCGAAACATGGACGGCGTTCGAGCACCACTACGTCGACCCCACACCAGCCGACACCCAGAACCGAAGCCAGTGACGCGAACGCCCAGCGAGACATCCCACGTCGACACCGACACCAAGGACTTTCTCCTCTTTCTTCCCCCTTCTTTTCTCCCCACAGACTGGCACGACCGACCCCGAGGACCATCCTCCGTCCTCTTTTTATGTTTTGCGCATTTGTCTCGCATTGCATGCTGTCCAGGCACGCCAGATCCCCGAGGCCACGGCCTCGCCCGCCCGGTTTTGAGTAGGCCCGGACGTTGTCCGCAACGTTGGTCGCATCGCATCGCGAATCGCATGTTTTATGATCGGGATCGTGGTCAGATCAGGCTCTGTCAGGGGGGGGGGACGAGGACGGGGATGAGAAGGAGGAGGAGGAGAAGGAGGAGGAGAAAGAAGAGGTAGAGGTGGCCGCAGGCGGCAGCGAGCCCGTGCATCAGGCGATCGGTAGGTCCACGTGCCCGCGTGGCTTGATGGGGTGAGGGGGGGCGGGGGCGCGGCACGAGGTGCAGCGACCGCCCGAGGCGAGCGGAAAGACGCCGACGGCCGTGCGCGCAGACGCCAACGCCGAGGAAACCAAGACCCAGGCCGGAGGCTCCAGTTTCGAGGCGGCGTGTTTGCCAGATGGGGCGTCTCGGAATTGCTGCGGCCCGGGCCGGGCGTGGGGGAGGCGGTGATCAACCAGGCGCAGCGCGGAGAAGGAGGAGGAGGAGGAGGAGGAGGAGGAGGAGGACTGCCGCCTAATTCACTGCGCTCCCAATGCGCCCAGGTCGTTTTTTGTTTTCTCTGACACTCGAGGTACGTGACATGTGCTGCACCTGGAGTTCGCTCCAAAAAATGGAGGCGAGCAGCAGGCAGGAGCAGGAGCGCGGGAGGGACGAGTATGCGGAGGGCGGGGGCGACCATAGACACGCGAAAGTCGATGTAGGTGACGGCGATGTGCGTTTCGGTATTGTAGGTGGGTGTGTCTCGTGGTTAATCCAAGTGTAGGGAAGCGTCGTTCGCGTTTTCCTATAATTCTCCGTGCCGTTCTCGCTCGATAGATTCGCGCATTTGAAATTTAGGAAAGTGTGACTCGCGATTTCCTAGAATTGTTGGGCGCGAGTTCGGCGTCGCAAAAACCAGGTTCACAACACCGCCGTTAACCAACATCGCCGTTGCGGGGGGGCTCGCAGGAGCGCGGCCCCGGCAGCGACCTCTCGCCGGATTCCACCGCCGTGCTGCGGCTTGCGGAGGGAATCAAGGCCAGGCGGCCGGGAGAGTTTGCCTGCGCGAGGGGGGGAGGGCCAGCCTGGGGACCGCGTGGCGCGCGCCGGGAGAAGCTGCGCCGTCGGCGCGTCCTCGCGGAAGGCCGGCGGAAGTGAAACGGCGGCGGCTCCGCCGGCAGATGTAGAAGCGAGACGCCATCATTGTTTGGTTCAGTTTGGGGGCGAAAGGTATGTAAAATATATGTTTCCTGCGGTGCCACGTTGAGGTAGAATCCTTCCAGCCGGCTGGGGGCAGGCGTCCCCGACGGCGGAACAGTTTATTGCATACCGTTCTTCGCCCGCTGATCCAGGGTGTCTGGGATCGGCCACGTAACGCTCGACGTTCGACCTTCCAGGCTCGAGTTTCGAGCGAGTTTCTTGCCTGTTTCGGCCTGCCCCTTGGGCCCTGAACGCATTGATCTGTTGATCCGGGACGAGGAGATGGCTGGTGGTGGTGAGGCGAGGTCCGGGGACCGATTTTGAACGGATTTTGGTCGGAGCCGGGGCGCTGACAGCGCCAGCCAGCAGTGATCCTCTTCTGACGGGCCCGGGTCTGGGAGCCACGCGGCGCGTTCCAGAAGGGGCCTCGCCTTCGGCGCGTCTCGCCGTCGGCGGAAGCCTGGCGGAAGCGGGCGGAAGTAAAACGAGGGCGGCTCCTCCAGCGGAAGGCGGTGGAAGTGCGAGTGAGACGTCCGGAGTCGGCCACGCGAGTCGGAGGAGAAACACGGACAGCCACCACCGAGAACCCATCAGTGGGGGGCCGGCCCTTCACCGATCGGTTCTCGGTGGCGGTGGTCCATGTGTCGCCGCGCCGCTTGTTCCGACACGCGGTCTTACGTGTTGGGGAGGGCGCTTCGGCCACCAGGGCAAACTCCGCCTCAGACGCAAGGCTTGCCGTGGGTTTGCCGTGGTGTCTGCGTTCCCCACTTGGGTGCGTCGAGAACAAACGCCGCGGCGACATGCTCATCCTCTCGGCGGCGAGCAAGGGGGGGAAGTGAGAAGGGGCGGGCCTTCTCAGAAGGCTCGGAAGCCAGATTGGCCTTCTGATAGGTTGTGTTGTTTGTTTTTCTCTTTCTGAGCCTCCCCCGAAGACACAGAACACCTCTCAGGAGGCACGAGAGCTTCTGAGAGGTCCCGCCGCCTTCTGAGAAGTTCTTCTTCTCACTTCCCCCCTCGCTCGCCGCCGATCTTCTGCACGATGCAGATGACGATGACGAAGACGATGACGATGACGATGATGATGATGATGATGATGATGATGATGATGATGATGATGATGATGATGATGATGATGATGATGATGATTATGGTAATGGTGATGATGATGATGATGATGATGATGATGATGATGCTGATGACGACGATGATGATGCTGATGATGATGCTGATGATGTTGATGATGCTGATGATGGTGATGGTGATGGTGATGGTGATGGTGATGATGATGATGATGATGATGATGATGATGATGATGATGATGATGATGATGATGATGATGATGAAGATGATGATGATGGTAGTGCGGGCACAGTAATGATTTAGCTGTTGCGCAGTTGTGTCGTTTACGATCGTTCACCTCTTGCCATTAAGGGTCAAGCTGTTCAGGAGCGGCCCGTCCGATGGTCCCGCGCGTCGGCGCCGGCGCGGCCTGGGCGGTGCTGGTGCTGGAGCTGGCGCAGGTCGCGAGGGACCTGCGGGCGCCGGCGGCTCCACCCTCGCCCCCGCCCCCCGCCGCCTCCGCCGCCTCCGCCGGCGGCTTCGGCGGACAGCGGCCCGAAGGGGTCGCCAGCGTGGGCGCTTGCCCGCTGCGAGGCGGCGCTCGCGGCCTGCGAGAGCTGCCCCGCCACAGGCGGGCCCGAGCCCGTGGAGGGACTGGGGCCCTGGCGGCCAGTGATCGCGCTGCTGGCGACGCAGCTGGCACAGGCGGTCGCGGCCGGGTGCTGGCGTCGTCAACCACGGGCGACCGCGGCGACTGCGGGCGCGCGCGACTGGGATGCCGCCGCGCCCGTGTCCGTCACGACGGCTGCCCCTGCGAGGCGCGGTGGCGGGGTGTTTGCGTGAGGCTCGACTGGGCGAGAGGGTCCGCGTCGCCTATGTGGATGACGACGTGGACCACGAGCGCATGCTCGTCTGGCCGGTGTCGGAGGCGCTGTGGTACGTAATGTCGCCAGATCGGGATGTTTGGGTTGAGGACCTGACAGCGGCGGATCACGCCACGGGACCCTGCCGCTGCTGGCCGCTCGCGGGTGGTGTTCAGCGCACGGCGCCGCAGCGATTGCACGGCTTTAAGGAGCTGCCCGACGCCGATGGGCTGGGCGCGCAGATGACCGAGTGCCGTCGCACCGCGTCGCTGGAGCTGGGCTTCGTGGAGAGGCCGCTTCCGACCGAGGCCGAGGTCGGCGGGGCCTTCCACGTGCTGGACTGCAGGGCCGGTGGGGTTAGCGGGACGCTCGCGCCTCGGGTTCGCGGGGTCTGGATGCTGTGCGAACCGCTGGGCCGGGCGAAGATCGGCCAGGTGATCGAGCTGACAGAGCTGGATCACGCCTGGGGCGATCAGGCGCTGATTAAGGGCTCGGATGGGCACGGCCGCGCGAGGCTTGTGGACCCGAGCGACGTGGGGGCGCTTGCAGAGGGGCGGCGCCAGCTGCTGCGAGACGCGCTGGAGCTACAAGCGATCGCGGCCGCCGGGGCCGGCGAGGCCGCGTCCTGGCGTAGCGATCGGGCGCCGGCGCTGCTGGCTTCGTCGCGCGCGGCGCCCTCCAAGGCCTGAGGCAGTGGCGCAGGGGGCTCGGCCGGTGGATGCAGAGGCTTGCCTGACGGCCGCGGTGCCGAGGCGATTGCGGCGATTGAGGACGCGCGGACTCAGTGGATCGACGTGGGCGCGCACGGGGGGCGCGTCCAGACGCGGAGGGATGTCGCCCGCGAGTCGTCGACCGAGGAGTGCGACGACACGCCGCTCGAGGGCCCGCGCGCGGCGTTGCACTTGCTTAAGCGCATGGGGCAGTTCGGGGTTAACCCGAAGAGCTGGCTTGAGAAGTGGTGCTTGGAGCGCCGCGTCGGGAAGTCGGACCGCCCCTTACATGGGCTGGAGACGCTCGGGGAGGCGCTGATGATCGGCGGAAGTTTTGAGCAGCTCAACATGCCTTCGCTGGTCAGCTTCGAGAAGATCTGTCGGCGGGCGCAGCTCATCATCGACGCGCGCGCCGAGCCCGGCACGGCCCCCTTGTGGCGGATGGCCCGCTACTTCAACGGGGTGGCCACGCTGGCCGACGCGGTGGGCCCAGCGCCGCGCATTTGCGGGGCGCGCCGGGCGAAGGGGGAGAGAACGAGGCGAGCTCCACCCGCGCTCGGGCGCCGACGACCGGCTTCTCCACGGGCGGCCGCGAAGAGGGGCAGGCTGGGGATCTGAAGGGGGCGCCCGAGGGGCGCGGCCGCGCGCGCGGCCGTGGAGGCCGCGGTCGGGGGGCCGACGCACCGGCGGAGGCCCAATGAGCAGCGACCCGGGCGGGGGGGGCAGCCCGACCCCTCGCCCGCAGCACGCGGGGCGCGGAGGCTTCTGGCCCTCCAGCGGCTCGCGGGGCATTTTCCCCTTGCTGCGTCGGCCGCTCCCACGCCATGCTGGCGGCGCCGTGGGCCGAGGGCCGCAAGGGCTTCAAGGCGAGGCTCTCGCGGCCCTGGACTGGCTCGCTGGATGCGACTTCCACACAGGCGAGGCCATCGCGAACGGCGTGCCAGCGCGCGGGCCGCGGCCGCCCGCGCCGAGGGACTCCTGCACGGGATGCAGCCGGCGCCAGATGACGAACCCATCCCGTCGCCGCAGGATGCCTTTCGCGAGCTTTTGCAAGGTCGGGCCGTCTACGACTTCGAGCGCGCGGGCAGAACGCTCGCCCCCTACCGACGTGACGCGGTGTCGCTACCTGAGAGCGTGGCGGGTCGTCGTCTCTTCTCGGGGCTCAGCGACGCGCGCTGGCGATCTGCGGACAGCGAGGGCCGGCGAATGCTTCGACGGGCGGAAGATAGACTTCAGTTAATGCATGACGACCCTAACAAGCCTTACGTGGATGCTGGGCTGGGCCGCAGCCGACGGCGCCGCGCAGACTTCATCGTGGGCCCCCGGGCTCGAGGGGCGCTGCGCCTCGGCTGGCCCTGCCCCGAGGAGACAGGGGCGTTCTTCGTTTGGAAGAAAAGTCGGGTGCAGACGCGAATGGCGCTTGACTGCAGGAAGACCAATCAGCGGTTTAACGAGGCGCCGCGCGTCGAGCTGCCGACGGCCGAAGGGGCAATCGGGGATCGGGGCGAGGACTTCGAGGACGGCGCGTTGCCAATTTACATGGGCGTAGCGGACGTGAAGGGCTCGTTCCACCAGCTGATCATGCCAGAGCGGTTAACGCGGCATTTTGGATTACCGGCCGGAGGGCCGAATATATCGGCGCGGCGGGAGAGACGATCGATGGGGGGCCCGCCCACAAGGGCGACATGGTCGTGCCCGTGGCGCGCGCGCTACCAATGGGGTTCACTTGGGGCCTGTTCTTCTGCCAGCGCATCGGTGAGGAGCTGCGTCGCCAGGTCCACGCGCTGCGCGGCTACCAGCCGCCGAGGGGCCGCGGCGCCCCTGCGGTGCTTATTGTCAGCAATGGCGCGCACCAGCTTCGGCACTAGGTGTGCGTCGACAACCTTGGGGTGATGGGCGACCGTCGACAGGCCGTCGAGCTGGCCTAGGCGGAGATGGCGAAGATCTTCGAGAGCTTCGACCTGCCAGTGCACGGCGAAGAGGTCCGCAGCACTGCGCCGAGGCGCTCGGAGTGACCTTGGACGGAGAGAGCCAGCGGACAGCGCTGACGACGCGTCGCTACTGGCGGTTGCATTCTGCGCTTCGACGCCTCCTGTACCGTGGCCGAGCCAATGGGGCCATGGTGGAGGTTATCTTGGGCCACTGCGCCTTCTGTGGCCTGGTGCGTCGGCCGACGCTATCGTGCTTTCACTCGGTGTACAAACTCATCTTGGTTAATTACGCGGTGCAGCAGCCGCTCTGGGGCTCCGCGGTGCAGGAGCTGCGGGCGTTCCTGTGGATGATGCCCTTCTCATCCTCCGATTGGTGGCCAAAGTGGAACCCGATCGTCGGCGCTAGCGACGCCTCGGAGTGTTGATTCGGTACCTCCGCAAGCTATTGGAGCGATGGGGAGGCGAAGGCCGCGGGGCGCGCCCGCGAGAGGAACCGCTTTCGCGATGTCCGCGCGGCGCGTGCACGGGGGCATGCCCTAACGGCAGCGGGGCTGCGGGAGCTCACGGGGCTGCCGCCGGCCGAGGAGTTCGAGCTGCCCGTCGACGACTTCGACGGCCCGGGCTCAGCCAGGGCGCTGGGCGAGCACGACGCCGATCCGAGCTTCCCCGGGATCGCCGAGAGCCGCCTGTCTCACAGTCGCTGGGTGCCTCGGTTTTGGGGCGCGTGGAACTGGGATCAACCTATTTTGATCCTTGAGGCCCGAGCGCTGGCAATGTCACCACGGAGGGTTGCGCTGAGTTCATTCGGAAAAGATGTGCGCCAGCTTCTCCTTGTTGACAACGTGAGCGTTTGTTTGAGTTTCGACCGATTCAGAAGCAGAGACTTTCGGTTGTTGAGCCACATCCGTGCGTTTGCCGCGTGCTGCCTCGCCCATCACTGCGCGTTGGGTTCCCGGTGAGCTCGACAATTCGGATGAGCCCAGTCGAATCTGCGATGCCTTTCCCAGTGCTTCTAATTTGCTTACCCGCCATCTGGAGGAGGGCCGACTTTCTTTCTCGGGCCCTGGGTCGGGGGTTAGCAGCACATCCTGGCAAGGGGGGAAGATTTGCAAGTGCGTTGAGTAGCAGCCATGACCACTCGCGACCCGAGAGCAAAGAGGCACATCTGGGTCCATCTCGCCGCTTCGCAAACAGTTTGTATCAGACTTCGGCCATGCGCGATAGTCTTGATGGCTGGGGCGCCGCCTTGCACCCTTGCGGGTCGCCGGCGAGTTCTGGCCCCTGCCGCCCCTCCGGTGACGAGGTAGCCCGGGCGGGCGCGAGTGCCGGCGCCGGCCGCGAGCAGGCCGGTAGCGCAGCCGGCGGCCGAGAGGCCGTCGGAGCGGCAGCGGGCGCTGGCGCCGACTCGCTCGCACATGGACGCCGCGCAGCAGGCGGTAGTGGAGTGCGACCAGCTGGAGAACACCGGCGCCGCGGCCGAAAAAGACGCTGGGCGACCGACCCGAGCCACCGCGACCTCGAGTGGGACATCCGAGAACGCGGGCGCGGCCGAGGCAGGCCGCGACCGCGTGCTGGAGCGCCGACAGAAGCATCGCTGGTCGAGATGCCTTTCGGAGTGCTTGGCCTCGCGCGACACGCGGAGCACCCTCCTGGAGGGCCGCGCGGTGACAGCGCGAGTGCAGCTCGACTGCCCCACGGAAGTGGCCGCATTCGCTCAGAGGCTGGGCGCGGAGGTAAGGCAGCTCGACGATTTCGACGCCAGCAACCTCGACGAAAAGCTCGCCAGCTACTTCGAAGCGTTGTACTTTCGGGGGCAGCAGCCGAGCAAGGGGATGAAGACCATCGCCAGGCTGATGCATCTTTTGCCTGCCTACAGCAGGTTCGGGGGCCGCAAGCTGCCCCGCCCCCGGAGGAGCCGGCGCGGTTGGCGCCGCCTCTGCACGCCGCGATCGCGGAGGCCGGAGCCGCTAAGCATCTGGCGCGCGCTGTGTAGTTGCTTGGTGCTGCTGGGGCAGCCACAGATGGCGCTGTTCGTGATGATCAGCCTGTCTACCTACTTGCGGCCTGCGCAGCTGCTGGGACTGATGCCCGAGTATATCCAGCGGCCTCGCAGGCAGGGAAATCGGCGCCGGACGTTGCTGAACATTCCCGAATAAGAGCTGCATGGCATCGCCCGAGAAAGACCGGCGAGCACGACCTGTTGGCAATGTAGTTGAAGTGGTTCGAGCGGCGCAGCCCGCTACTAGAGAAGCTGCGACGACGCGAGCTTTCAACTACAGCAGTATGCGACAAAGTTCCGAGAGGCCGCGATGATCCTGGGCCTCAAGGAGCTGTCGCCGTACCAGACGCGCCACTCGGGGGCCAGCGTCAATCGGGCGTCGAACGAGCGAAGCCTGGCAGATGTCAAGCGGCGCGGAGGGTGGCGAACGGACAAGCCCATAGTGCGCTACGAGAAAGCCGCCCGACGGAGCCACTCCGCGTCGCTCCGCCCCCAGTGGCTGCTCAGCCGCGAAGTCGACTGCGAGAAGCAGCTCGAGGGCATCTTGATCCACGGGCGGACCGTGCCGGTGCCCAGGGGCCGTGGGGGCATTTTGTTCGCGAGGGCCGCTGCTTCGCAGATGTTTTCTGCGGGGAGGGCGGCTGTGGGCGGGCGGCCGAGTTGAGCAGGTTTCCAGCGCGATACTTCGAGCTTGTGAATGGCGCCAAGGGAGAGGCATTGCGGCCACAGGTGATGAGGGGCATTTTCGGCGACATACAGGCTGGGGAAGTGCTCTGAGCCATGATCGGGCCCACTTGCACGACGTTCAGTATTGCGAGGCACCGCGGCCAGACGTCGAGGACCGCAGAGCGGCCGATGGGCGTTCCACATTGGCGCGAACAACAGCAACAGCCAGCAGGTTGATTTGGGAAACATGTTCATGAGAGCCGCCGTTTCGGACCGCCCGTGAGTGTCAGAAGTCACATGTGCCGCGGATTAAAGTAAACCCGCACTACTCTTATTCCCAGCCATCGTGTGGTGTTGGGTCCTCTTTTTGAAGAGACGGTCCCCGCGTTCCTCCTTCCTCCTCCTTCCTCCCCTTCTCTCATCATCATCGCCATCGTCCTCATCGTCGCCATCATCATCATCAACACCAGCATCATCAACAGCATCACACGTTTCGTTGCCCCATAGGGAGCTCCACCGAAGGTCCCCGTGGCACAGTCCGCATGCGTCCCCGCCACTCATTTCGTCACACCCCTAAAACGTTTCGTGGCCCCATAGAAGCTCCGCCGAAGGTCCCAGTGGCACAGTCCGCATGCGTCTCCCTCGCCCAGTACAGCGCTTCGTGGCCCCATATGGGGCTCCGCCGAAGGTCCCCGCGGCACAGTCCGCATGCGCCTCCCTCGCCCAGCACAGCGTTTCGTGGCCCCATATGGAGCCCCACCGAAGGTCCCCGTGGCGCAGCCCGCATGCGTCACCCCCACCCAGTACACCGCTTCGTGGCCCCATATGGGGCTCCGCCGAAGGTCCTCGCGGCGCAGTCCGCATGCGCCCCCCTCGCCCAGCGCGGC